AGATGTGGGTCATAGTTCCCCTGTCCATCCTGCACCTCCAACATCTATCTGAGGTGATAGGGTATATTCTATGGAGTTTGTCGGAAGTGTAATACCATCTGTATACAAGCTTTTTATGGGCTTCTATGTGTGAGTAACATGTGGTGATGCCCTTGAGAGCCATGAGGGTGGCTAGCCAATGTTTGTCTGAGAAAGCTAGAGGGTATTCTCTTTCCCATTGGACCTTATAGGAAAATTCTGGCGTGGTAGCCTGGTTTCCTAGTACAGCATACCCCAACGATAAGGTTTTATTTTTGGTAGGTGTTGAGTGACACCTCTCGTAGAGCTTGGTTGATTCCAGTTCGACAGAATGTGTTCCCTTTGTGGGTCATGTCACCTTGTCTATAACTATACTTTTTAACTGGAGATATGGAAATATATAGGAGGGGGGCAGGTTATACAGATTTTGTAGTTGTTGGAAGGGTATTATCGTCCCCTGACAGCATATATATTTGATGCATTTAGCTCCTAGTTCTTTCCATTTATTCAGGGATAGCCATGGGGATATCAAGTGGAGTGCTGTTATTGGTGCCCAGTATGAGAACTTTTTGCTGCTCTGCTGTGGGTGGTGGAGGTGATCCCAAATTTGGATAGAATATTGGGTTAGGGGTAGGAGCTTATGGTCTCTGTCCCTCAGGTGTTTGGGGGTCCACATATAATCCACCACAGAACCTCCAGTTCCGTATTGATTTTCAAGGTCTACCCACTGTAAGGTTAGTGTCGGTGCATGTAATTTTACTGCAGTTTCTAGAATTGCGGCTTTGTGAATCCTCATTATATTAGGGAAACCTAAACCCCCTTTCTTACTTGAGGATTATAGTAAAGTTAGTGGAAGTCTCGGTTTCTTTTTCTCCCATACATAGGATGAGAGTAAGTTTTGTATTTGTTTGCCTAATGAGGGTGATAGGGGTATAGGCAGCATTCGAAATACATATAGCAGTTTCGGGAGAACCATCATTTTTATAGCATTAATTCTACCTAACCACGATATCATAACATCTTTCCATTTATGCAGAGTTTGTTTGCACAACTGTGGTAAGGGGAAAAAAATTAGCGTGGTAATGCCACGGTATGTAGCTGTGATTTTTACTCCTAGGTAGGTGAGGTATGTATGTCTCCAGTCAAAGGGAAATTTGTTTTTCAATGTAGACACTATTGAGGAGGGTAGGCGTATTGGTAGTGCTTGAGTTTTTGATTGGTTCAGTTTGTAATAGGACACTTTGCTATATTCCTCCAAGGTGGCGATAAGGTGTGTTAATGAGCGGTCAGGTTGGGACAAAGTAATCAGGACATCATCGGCAAACATTGACAATGTATATTCTGAGGATTTAATATTAATTCCCATTGTGTCTGGGAGATTTCTAATTCTACATGCGAGTGGCTCAAGAGAGAGAACGAAAAGTAATGGCGATAATGGGCAGCCTTGGCGTGTGCCATTTGTGATAGAGAAAGGGTTTGATACGAACCCTGCATTGATAACTCTAGCAGTAGGATTCGAGTACAAGGTCATAATTCCCTTGAGGTATACTGCAGGAAAGCCGAATTTAAGGAGGACCTGTTCCAGTTTAGTCTATCGAAGGCCTTCTCTGCGTCTAGCGCTAGGAGAAGGCCTTCCATATTGTGTGTTTCCATGTGTGCCAGTATATTTAACACTTTTCTAGTGTTGTCTGAGGCTTGTTGATTTATTACGAACCCTGATTGGTCATTATGGACTACGCATGCTCGAATGTTTTTCAACCTGTCTGCTAGGATCTTGGCATAGATTTTCGTGTCACAATTTAAGAGGGAAATGGGTCTGAAGTTCTGACATAGCGTGGCTGGTTTACCCGGTTTAGGTAGGGTGGCGATGTGGGCCTGTAACATCTCTGTGGGCATTGTACCTTTTGTGAAGCATTGGTTAAGGAGAGTTGTAAAGTGAGCAGTCAATATGTCAGAGAACGTTTGGTAGTAAAGATTAGTGAAGCCATCTGGTCCTGGAGATTTATTTAGGGGTAGTTTGGCTATTGTGCGCTTCAGTTCTTCTTCAGTGAATGGTTGTGTTATGGAGTCTATTTCCTCTTGTGTCAAAGTGGGGAGGTTAACTTTATCTAAAAATTGTGCGATGTGCACTTTGGACGGTGTGGGTGTCATGGGGTCATTCTTGAGGTTATATAGGGAGCTATAGTACCTCACGAACTCTTCCACTATGTCTTGTGGATGCATTAGTTTATTTTTGGTGGGGGATAAAATATAGGCTACCCATGCGTTTGTCACGCATGATTTTAGTTTAGACGCTAGGAGGGCTCCTGCCTTATTCCCTTGGGTGAAAAATTTGTGTTTATATCTTTGTAGGATATAGGTAGTTTTGTCTGACTCTTGTTCCCGTAGTCGAGCTTGCAGTGTTTTTAGCTGTTCATAATGGTTCGTTGTTGGGTTTAATTTGTATGTGTGTTTAAGTGTTGCTATTTGTTGGATTAGAGTGTTATAGGTGTGGAGCCGCTTCTTTTTCGCATAGCTGGCATGTTTAATGAATATGCCTCGAAGCACTGCTTTATGGCCTTGCCAGATCATGTCTATGGATGAAGAGTAGGTGGTGTTGTTTTGAAAATATAATGTAAGTTCTGTCTTAATTTGTCCGATGATGGTGGGGTCGCATAATAAGGATTAATTTAACCTCCATGAACCTATCCCTTTGTTGGGGTATTGGGCAGTTAAAGTGATAGAGATAGGGTTGTGGTCAGACCATATTATTAGTCCTATAGAGGTAAATTAGACTTTAGGCATCATGGATGAATGTAATAAAAATCTATCAATTCGTGAATACGAATTATGCGCTTGTGATTGGAAAGTGAAGTCCATTTTAGAGGGGTGTAATACCCTCCATACATCCAGGAAACCAGTGTTGTGTAAATGTTGTTGGATAGCTTTTGTTGTGGTTAATCGTTTCTTAGCCGTGGTTTGGGAAACGTCTAAGGTGGAGGATGTATCAAGAGCGCTGTCTAATATAAAGTTAGTATCTCCCTCAATCACTAAGTTGCCAAATTTGTGTGAGTTGGCTAAGGCAAGGATTTTATCTAGGTATGTTGATTGATTCTCATGTGGACCGTACACATTGATAAATGTGTACGGTTCATTATTGATCCGGCATTGGATTATGAGGAAGCGTCCCTCATTATCTCCTATCTTTTTATGTAGTGAGAAGTGAACAGTATCGATACTTCCCTTTTCTTTTTGGAGTATCCGGTGTGGTAGCCTATGGGGAATTGCTTGGATGTAAATGTAGGCATATTAGAGTTTAGGAAGTGAGTTTCTTGGAAGAAGGCCACTGTGGCTTTCATCTTTTTGGCTTCGTCAAGGGCAAGCCTACGTTTATGTGGAGAGTTCAGACCTTTTGCGTTAAGCGATGTTATAGTTAGAGCCCTGGATATTTAACAGCAGTGCTTACATTGGTATGATGTGAATTGTCTCGGTGCAACAGACACCCACGATTGTGTTTTTGAAAGGGTGGGTGTGTTTGCGGGTGAGTCTCAGCGTGATACGATTCCCCTATGTCGGGGTTGTTGCTACTTTCAGTGTGTGGAGGCCTCATATCAGTAGGCCTATTTGTGAATAGTGGCCGCTACTGTGGGGAGCGTTTCAGTGAACGCCCTTCGCAAAGTTGTGCCACTAAGGGGTAGATATGATGGAGCCATGTTTTACATTGTGGTGGTTCTCGTTTGACCAGTCGTTGTGATAGGGTATACACCCATCTACCTCATTGTGAGACATAAGGAGGTGGAGGTGGGACTGGGATTGGAGGAGGGGGTAGAATATAAACAACCAGAAAATAACTATATACAAGTTGGATATAAGGCAAGTGTCGGCTGACATTAACCAAGAACTTGAAGGCTCTATGGAGCCAAAAAAATGCGGGAGGGTGGTTTTATTAGCATTGGTCTGCCTACCTGTTCACTTATTATGTGAAATTCAAGCGTAGGTCAATGTTAGTCATGTTTAAGTTAGTTCCCTTGTAAAACATACAATAAGAAAAGAGGTACTTTCATAGGGGTGGGTGTCATTAATATAAACATAAACAGTCTGGCATGCTAGGCATTCAATAGCCATATAACAATAATAAGTATGATATATGTACAAGATCAGAACATGCTCACGTATGTTGTCAGTATATCCTTGTGGAGAGGTTCGTAGATCTCAATACCTCGGTACCAGTCTCTATTATAAATTTTACGATACTGTTTTATCTTGTAAGATAACCGGTAGGTTCCATGCTTTCAGCAACCTGGTTCCGTCTGTTATATTGTGGATGTGATGTTCTACTCCATTTTTCTTGATTATGACACTGGTAGGATAACCCCATTTATATAGGATGTCTGCATCCCTTAGAGCCTGCGTTATTGGTGCCAGTTATTTACGTTTCGTCAACGTTGCCGTGGACAGATCAATGAATAGTTTCACTCCAGTATATTTGGGTGGGATATTATCAGGGTTTTGTGCTGATCGCATAATAGCCTCTTTTGAGGTGAACTAGTGAGCTCGTGTGAGTACATCTCTAGGTGTGGAGGGGTCTAGAAATTTGGGCTTTGGCAGGCGGTGTATGCGGTCAAGGCGTAGATCAGTATCTGTAAGGCCTGGACATAGAGCTTTAAACAGGCCTATGGCGTAATCATACAATTCTGAGGGTTTAATTCCTTCTGCAATTCCCCTTAATCATATATTATTTTGCCTATCCCGATCTTCATGATCTGCTACTTTAGCAGTTAAGAGGGTCAGGCGTGATTCTAAAGAATCATATACCTCAGCCAGGTTATTGTGGGCCTCAATGATTTCCTCAGTCTTGTCTTCAAGTAAAGTAGTGCGTTCACCTATTGCTTTTATGTCTGCACAGTCGTCTCGTGCTAATTTGGCAATTTATTTTTTTTCTAAATTGTGGTAGCCCACAAAATATTGGGACATACAAAAAAAGAAACATTTGCGGCCTGTGGTGCATTTCTTGCAGTCCTTATGCATGGAGAAATGCTCAACATCACAAGCCTCTGTTAATGTGTACCTAGTTTATACTAAGTGACCCATAGGTTGAGGAGGCGGTGACCGTGGCAGTGGAGGAGAAGGATGAGGTAGCCAACACTGGTTTTTATATATCTATATTTTTTTATTAGGGTAGTCCCCAAAATATTGGGACATATAAAAATAGACAACCCTGTTCCACAGAGTAGCTATTGACATTATAGTTGCGCAGGCACTTTGTTTACTCTAGAGAACCTCGGGCCAATCGCACATCCCCATGGCGGCGACTTTGCATGCAGATGTCATCCATATCAACCTTCGATGCCAGTTTCTGCACCTACCATGGTGACAACGGGTAATGGGGAATCAGGGTTCCATTTCATACAGGGACCCTGAGAAACGGCTACCACATGCAAGAAAGGCAGCAGACCCATGCGTGCTGCAGCTGAAACTCCACTATCACCTGCTGCTGCTCGCTCGGTCTCATGAGGTGGTGAGCGGGAAGGCCGAAGTTACGCTGCAGCGCAGACAGGCGAGCAGCAGCAGGGTGACAAGGATAAAAGCGCTCACTGCCGCTACAGTGAATGTCACATCTTGTTCCAAGTTGTGGATCAGTCTGGTGATGGTTTCTGGTATCCAGTACTCTTTTTACTGAAGCTGCATCAGGGTGTGAGGTTACCCTGCACTAGACCCTGCTAGTCCATTCCACACTGTGACTCCTAACTTAAACATCAGGCATACTGGGTCCCGGTCGTCCGACAGCCGCCCAGACAGTGTCTAGGTCCTGGTCACCGGACTGCCCACCTCACTGTGAAACTACGAATGGATCGTTAAAGTTTGCAATTCGGGTTCGCTCAACTCTATTATGGATCCTTTGATCGCTACATGTATTACTTGAATAACTGTCAAGCTAATACATGCCGACGAGTGCTAGGGGACGGCCGCTCCGCTTTTGCACCCTGCATTTGACTCTCAGATATGAAGTGAACACCCCAAATATACTATTTAGCACCAAAAAAATAAATTACTTTTTAAAACTCCAATGTAAGCAGCAGATTAGCAGCAAAACAATTAAAATGTTTACAACTGCGCAGTAAGCGCACTATTTGATGCTTCTATTTGACGCTTCTATTTGACTCTCAGATATGAAGACCAAGCCAAAAAAATTACTATTTAGCAGATTAACACCCAGAAAATAAGAATATTTACCACTGCGCTGTAAGCACACTATTAGACGCTTTGATTTGACTCTCAGATATGAAGTGCACCGCAGGCCAAAAAATTTACTATTTAGCAGATTAGCAGCAAAACAATTAGAATGTTTACAACTGCGCAGTAAGCACACTATTAGACACTTCTATTTGACTCTCAGATATGAAGAGCAAGCCAAAAAATTTACTATTTAGCAGATTAACACGCAGAAAATAAGAATGTTTACCACTGCGCTGTAAGCACACTATTAGACTCTTCGATTTGACTCTCAGATATTAAGAGCAGGCCCCAAAACGTACTATTTAGCAGGTTAGCACCCAGAAAATAAGAATGTTTACCACTGCGCTGTAACTATTAGACACTTCGATTTGACTCTCAGATATGAAGTGCACCACAGGCCCCAAAATGTACTATTTAGCAGATTAGCAGCAAAACAATTAGAATGTTTACAACTGCGCAGTGAGCACACTATTAGACGCTTCTATTTGACCCTCAGATATGAAGAGCAAACCCCCAAATTTACTATTTAGCAGATTATACCCAGAAAATAAGAATGTTTACCACTGCGCTGTAAGCACACTATTAGACGCTTCGATTTGACTCTCAGATATGAAGAGCAGGCCCCAAAATGTACTATTTAGCAGATTAGCACCCATGAAAAAAAGAATGTTTACCACTGCACTGTAAGCACACTATTAATCGCTTCCATTTGACTCTCAGATATAAAGTGCATTCCGCAAATGTACTATTTAGCAGATTAGCACACAGAAAATTAGAATTTTTACAAGTGCGCTGTAAGCACACTATTAGATGCTTCTATTTGACTCTCAGATATGAAGTGCACCCCACTAAAATACTATTTAGCAGTTTAGCACCCAAATAATTTTAAGTTTTAAAACTGCAATGTGACAGCAGTATTTGACGTTTCTATTTGACTCTCAGATATGAAGTTGTGGGGATATTTATGGGATAATAATAGTAAACAGTGAGAATTGCCCACTAATTCAATTCTCAGATCCCAAAGATCATTATCGTGTTAAGTGAAAAGTATTTCATATAAATAAATCACAATGTTATAAAAATAGATTTATTTTATAATAACAAATTAATTATTAATAATAATAATAATATGTAACATGCGTGACAATAATCAATGAATATCCAGTATAAAATGGTATGCAATACAAAGGAATGGCTATACACGTTTCAATGGCTAAACAGCATTTTCTGTCAAGACTTACACGATTTATGACTATCTTTCACAGAGAGAAAGCGAAGCTTTTCACAGCGAAGGGCCATAAAACCCTGGCTAAAAGTTAGAATAACCCTTTCAATGCTGGCTAGACCTCCTAGGTAATTAAGATCTATTCTTATGTAATTTTAAATAAAATAACATTTAAACCAGTTCATTAGTCATTTCCTGGAACCATCCAATAAGAGAATCTACCATGATTTTTACAAAAGCAGAATTTGTTTTTAATTTGCCTAAAAAGATATCTTATCTTATAGTAGAGCAAATCAATACACCTGGATAAAAACAGCGGTATGCTAACACGTGATAATATCACCTTAATATATAATTATTCTTAATTCCACCTGCAGAATGGAATGTTTATAACTATATATTCTTTAGTTAACTAAGATTTCTTAATATGGAAATCTGACCGTGATATATTCAGTCATATATCATGCTATTAGTACATTTTAATTAATTTAATTAATTAAATGAAACCAGTATAATTACCAGTTGAGTAGATATTTTCATCAAATTGGTAATCTCAGGAACTTGTTTGGATGTCTCTCTGCATGGAGGTGTGTAGGAATTTCTGAGTGTCCTAGAGTGTCATTGCTCCCCACTGCTCACTTCTTTGCTTTCTTTGCATACCCTTTCATTCCTCGTCTACCTCTTTGTCTTAACTTTTAAAGGGAAAATTCACTAGTTGCTAAACCAATAGCAATACTGGGGGTGTGGTTATCTTCCAGATCACAATTTAGTTATTTGGTCTATAGAGGGCAGTCTTGTCCCACTAAACATACCTATCCAGGAAAGAGTTAACTTTTCCTGGTGGCTATTTTGACGTCATTTTGCTTTATCTTTATGGTTGCCATAATTTAAATTTTCTGTCAGATCAAACAGTTTCTTTAAGTTTTGTCCAGACTATGTGTCTGGCAAATTCTGAGTTTTGACCCGTAACTTACAATGGGATCTTGTACATATAGAAAGTAACATTTTATTATTTAATCTCCTCTGTCACAAATGTCTGTGTTTAGATATACATCTATTCCATTAACATTTTAGACAGTCTATCCAACCCCCGTTCTCCTTATCACTTGGTTTGTACATACTATGCATTCCTTTAGCTCTGGGAAAGTGGTTAGTTTTACAGAAAGGATAGAAATTTCGTGTCGTGTCTCTTTGTTAACTTGAAAATAACAAAATGGAGTCTGGTCTGTTCAGAGTGACTCAGAATATACACTTTTAATTTCTATCTTAGCACAAGATGTCTGCCGATATAATATACCCTGACAAAGTGCACCCCACTAATGTACTTTTTACTACTCAAATAATTTAAACTTTTAAAATTGCAATGTGACAGCAGCATTTGATGCTTCTATTTGACTCTCAAATATGAAGTGCACCCCACTACTGTACTATCCCACTAATGTACTATTTAGCACCAAAAAAATTGACTTTTTAAAACTCTGATGTAACCGTGGTATTTGAAGCTTCTATTTGACTCTCAGATATGAAGTGCACCCCACCCCACTAATGTACTAGTTTGCAGAATTCTTTCCTAAGCTGTCCCTATGAGCGGCAGCATCCTCTCCCTACACTAATAAGACCGCATGTGCGTGCGGCGCTACATGACTCCAGCTTATATATAGAGGCTGGGTCACATGCTGCACTGGCCAATCACAGCCATGCCAGTAGAAGGCATGGCTGTGATGGCTTCTAAGGGCACACAAGTCAAACGCTTGTTGATTGGCTGCCCTGCAGCCTTTGAAAACGTGCCATTAAATTGCCAAACACCGAACTCCAACCCGAACGTACAGTGATATGTCCGTGTTCAGGTCCGGGGTCCAAAAAACCTAATGTTCTGTACGAACCCGAACTTTGCAGTTCGGGTTTGCCCAACTCTAGTATAAATCTCTTACATTATTTTTAAGTCGACAGCAGTGAGATATATGCAACTATATAGGTTGGACTACCTTTTCTCTGAGATAGCAAGAATTTACTTAAATTTGCACAGATTAGATTATCCTCTTTCTTAATTTTCAACACCTTAGATGATATGTCACCCTTTTTTGATTATTTGATTATGTAATTGTAAAGGTATATTTATACTACATTTTTAATGTTATCTTTTATTAATTTTTTAAAACTGGTATCTTTGATGTATTATATATGGAGGTTAGGATTACTTAATAATGTATCCAAGTGACAATGTATTTTTGAAAATATTTATCATTTTTAATTATTTTTCCTTTTCTCTGTGTATGTTCCTTCATTTTGTTCACATTACATATTGATGGTAAATATGCTTATGTATATAAATGTTAAGAACTATTGAAGCACTTTTTGTTGCTATTTATATATGGACTTGGACACTTTAAGAGGAATGACGTTTAGTCAACCTCGCATTATATAAAGGAATATTGTGGGACATTTTGTTTATGCTTGAGAAAGCCCAGAGAAGCTGGGTGAAATGAGTAGCATCACATCACCAGAAATCTACTGCATCATACCGAAACCCAGAAGTGCCTGCGTGCGGTGAGACTGAGACTGGCCAGGAGATACAGTTAGAACATGTTCAGACTGTATACCTCACAATACCCAGGACTATTTGGTCTGCTCTGGAGGTAGTGAGATTTTATTCTTTTAACCCCTTAATGCCATTATAGCGTTCTATGCTGTCCCCATTCTAATGGGCTTTAAAGCTATTAGGGCGGCATAGAATGCCCTAACAGCTTAGAGCTCCAGCGACCTTTTACTCCTTGCCCCTGCCGCGATCCTCTTCTGGGAGACTGCCTGACAGCCCAGGCAGGCCACCCTCGGCTATTTAGGCCCCCAGCTATGCAGCTGCCTGTAGGGGGACTGCCTTAACTGACAGAAAGTCTGTTTATATATATATATATATATATATATATATATATATATATATATATATATATATATATATATATATATATATACATATATGTATATATATATAT